AGCATCTTATGTTGGCTCTAGTGATTGTCAAAATAATTTAAGATGACTGGGCAACATAAGAAATGCCCTGTTTATTTGGAGGCCATGTTTCTGCATCATGGCACGCGTCTAACACCACTGCCTTGAAAAGCGAGAGCCAATAGAAAATGTAGAGAAGAAGACGTTTCAATTGATTACATGCCTCAGCAACAAAAACAAACTAAAAATACTCAGAAAAGGCTTCCTAGGCGTCACTCGCCTCCGCCTCGTTGTCCAAGTCGTTTTCAGCTTCTTCGCGGTCGCTGTGAACGGTGCTCTCGACATCCGCGCTGCGCCGACGTCGCTTCTTGCCAGGGTGTACTTGCCAAATTCTAGCATCGTCTCGCTTAAAGAAGTAAGACCGCGGTCTCGACAATCCTTACAATATTTGTAGAAACCCCTGTACCGGCGTTGGCAGCCGAGGCACACCTTATAGTGCCCACTAGGGTTGGCAATTCACGACTATTAACAGGTATATTAGCGATTATAATCGTTTACATTCCCAAGTTAACATTAATATTAACTGTGAATATCGAATGTTCAATTTCTGGCGTATGGTGATGCTGCCAGTAGGTTGAAGTCCCGCGAGATCGCTCTGCTCGAGCAAAGATCTCGCGTGAGACTCACAACACAACTAGCGCCCCCACCCCGACGTCTTTCCCTGCCGTGCAAGCTCCGTTCATCTCCACAAAAGCTCAGCCCGACGCTGCTGGATATAGCCCCTTCTGACGGTACACCAATTCTCGCGCGTGTGTGCGACGTTCAAGTCGCTTTCAAACATATTGACACAGTCTGATACAGGGTGTGAGCTTAATACGAGCGCTCAACAGTATGGCACCGTCACAGCATGAGATATGGAGGCTTTACACCGTTGCAGTTGCCCGCGTCAAAGGAGCTAAGCCCCACCCGGACGCCAGCTGCAATGCATGTGGCGAGGTGCTGAAGAATGCGCAGCCTTCGCGTAACATGCTCACACACGTGTTGAAGTGTGACAAGGTCGACGCTGAGTCGAAACAGCGGTGGCTTCGGTATGACTCACAGCGTCGTCACGAAAAAGCATCTAAGCTGCTGACCCCAGCAAGACGCTCAGCTAAAACTCCGTCGTCTATTAGTAAGCGCTTATTCCATACACCCCAGAGTGGGTCTCCACGCACGGGCTCACGCAAGAGACCACGCAGCTCTTTAAACAAGTCGATCAAGCAGAGTGAGGAGGATAATTTCTTACGGGTTGCTATGGGGTTCATTGCTACCGGTATTCCTTTTCGAGTGATTGTCGACCCTCATTTCCATGCTATGTTTGATTACAAGCTTCCATCTCGCCGGCAGCTTTCAGGGCGTCTGTTGGATTTAATTTTCAAGCGTGAGATGGGCCGGATAATTGCTTTGATGAGTGGAGTTTCCGGGTGGGCGCTCGTGACGGATGGCTGGTCCAACGTTAATGGTGACAGTATCATCAATTTTGTTTTTGTGAATCCTAAATTTCCTCCTGTCTTTGGAAATCAATTAATACGAGAGCTGAAGTACACACCGGGCGTTATATTGCAGACACTATTCTATCCACTATCATCGAGCTTGAAGAAGCGGTCGGAGCTGGGGCAGTTATCGCCATCGTTACCGACAACGCCGCGAATATGAAAAAGGCTTGGAAGCTTGTCCGGATGGAGCGCAAAGGTATGGTGTGCACTGGGTGTGCAGCGCATGGAATGGATCTGCTGATAAAAGACATCTTTAAAATGAAGTTTTTTAAAGACGTCCTCGACAAGGCACAAGCCCTAGCTCGTTTCATCAGGGGTCGGCGTGGCTTGTGGTCGCGTTTTCGGGATACTCAAAAACAACTTAAGAAGCGAGGAGAAAAACGCCGTCGTCTCTCGCTGACGGTGGCAATACACCCATGAGAAATGTATCGCCAACGTGGTTCAAAATCGAGATGTCATTGCTGCTATTTTTTCCGACACAGCCTTTCTAAGGAATTACAAGGGCTCAGACCTGGAAGAAGCGACGAAGACCTTCAAGGACGAGGAGTTCTGGCAAGACGCTGCTGTTACAGTCGCTATAATCCGGCCTATCAACACGAGCCTTGCTGCCTTTGAGCGTGATGATTGCAGTATTTCGCTTGTTTACCACCAATTCAGTTGGCTGCGTACTCACGATGCTTACACAAAATCCTTGGATGGATGTAGTGCGGAACTTCAGCTGCAGGTGCTTCGCGCAATCGAGGACAGAAAAAAGAAAATTTGCTGGAAGCCACTGGGGATTGCCCATATGCTGGACCAAACAAAATCGATGGATGGGCACAACTCAAAAAAACTGATAGCTGATGCTACTGAACTTGCCAGGAAACTAGAGCTTGTCGATCGATCTCAGGAGGATACGTTCCACAATAAGCTGCAAGAATTTGTTCTGGAAAAATGTAGCTGGAAAGGGACGGAGCGCTTAGACAACAATCGGTTCAGCCCATTGAACTGGTGGTCACTTCCTGATACCAAATACCGTCTGGTGCAGTCGTTTGCGAAGCTACTATTATCAATACCGACATCGTCAGCTTCTAGTGAGCGTAGCTGGAGCATCCACGAATTTATTCACACTAAACTGCGCAATCGCCTTACTCCTGAGCGGGTTAGCAGACTCGTTTTCGTGTACACCAATATCGCTCGGAAAACTGAAGTGAACCATATCATGTACCAGCTCTTTCCTGAAGCTTGTGACGGTAGTGACTCCAGCGATAGCAGCGACGATAGCGAAGATGATAGTGGGGAGCTCCCAAACGACTACCAATCGCCATTACCCACAACAAGGCATCTGCGGACAAAACCAACTGACTTTGGATCACCAACAGTACTTCAAGAGGTAAGTCTTAATGATAGATTCACCACTCCAGTTTTCAATGGACGAGAGCAACCGATATGCCAGACAAGATAGATTGAGCTGCAAAACAAATAAAATATTTAATTCCTTTCTCAAAACACTACCGCACACACACAAGATGATAGTCAACACCGTTGCATCCACAAACACACTCGAGACGAGCCGGTATTGGCGCTCGCCGGGCCCGGTGCACCGTTTTAATGCAGAAAGCTGACCGATCATAGTTCGCCACTCAGAAAACTAAATTCATCCATGAAAGGGAGTCTCAATGACTGCACTGTCAGCTCTCCTCACTGGGTGTATGCAACTTTGAATACGACGCAGTCTTCTTTTCATCAATTCTCCCTTCTTCATGACCACGACTTCATTTCCAGATCAGCGTTTAGCGCAAAATCGTCTGTAAGCTGCAAAATTGTTGCTCCAGTGCATTACCTTCCTAGCGTTTCCAAGTTATTGATCATTTTGCAATTTGAAATGCTAGACTATCACAATAGAAGCAATATAGTTAGAAAGACTCACACACAGCTATGTCGACAAATATTGTAGTGCTACTGATCGCGATATCTTTAGGGTTTCATACCGCTAACTGATGTTTCGGCTGCACTTGACCGCAATACCTTATCCTCTTCCCGCTCGATCTTCCCAGCCATCTCCAGGTAGCCGTGCTTGCATTGCACCAAACATTCACAGATTTTTCCGTGAAAGAACCAATCCAAAATTGTGCCTGGCCACCTCCGTAAAGACTCCATCATCCCATAGAAATTATCTCGGAATGGCAGTAGCTAGCGTCGTGACCGATGTGCGTACTCTTGGCTTCTTGCTCTTGCGTTATGAGCTCCGTCAACTAATCTCCCTCATAATTACTGGTACCTCACGATAATAACTGCTCGAGTGCCGCAGACACATCAAATTTCTAAGAAACAATAACACATAGTCACCTGCGTTTCCTCGAAGAATACGTTGTAGCCTCTCAGGCTGTCCACTCGAACGATCGCCTTCCTCGAAGCCTTGGGAGCGCATTATTTGACAGTCTGTACCGCAAAACATGCAGCAGCAGGCGTTGAGCTTGATCTCTACGGTGAACACGAGAAGTAGTCGAAGACAATGCCCCGGTCTACTGCGGTGCAAGAGTACGCCGTAGTTGAGGGAGCAGAGTGCATTGTGGTCGCACTACAGCCGCTGTCTTCGGCAAACAGATCCAGGTAGCTACCGCATAGCTTCGGATTTGTAGCGCTCTCCGACTAGTGCATACCCATGCTCAATTCTCCTTGCCATAACCGCTTCGCTATGCGAGTGGAAGTCGGTTGTACAGTAGCCCGATTGTTTGTTTGAATTGTCACTGTGAAAATTAGTTATTCATTGTTATTAGCGATTAATAACCCATTCAGCTAATTTAGCTGATATTAACGGTGAATATCAATTGCCAACACTAGTGCCCACCAAAAAGCTTAGCACACTCTGAACCAACGAAGTGATGATTCTCATCCTCGTCAATGATAAGGAAGTGTCGCTTGAAAGGGGTGTTGCAATAACACCGCGGGTCGATAG